TTCTATTAACTTCAGTGGACTGGCCTCCCAGTGGAGGCCAGTCCACTGAGAAATCCCATTAGACTTCGCAAAAGACAGTCTTGAAAGGTATTGATAAACCCAGGCACCTCAAGAAACAGCAACATTTTAACTTAAAGACTGTAATCATAATGTATTATCTGGAATTATAAATTTTTTAAGTCTGAATTTTTGGTGGAGAAGCAGAATAAAGCAGTTAATGCAGCAGAGGACAAGCTATAGACATAACTTACTTAGTTTAGAGCAGAATGTGGATAGAATATAATTAGAAAAATACAGGCTTTCAAAAGAGCTTCCAAATTTCAATAGCTGCAAATGGCCAATACTTCATTGAATTAGATACAAGACAACTATACTGCATCAGTGAGAGGATGATGGATTTCTGGACTAACAGAATATGCCTAGGGAAGGGTATGAGGAAACAGGAGGCATTGATGGTACATCCTTTAATAAATTCCCAGACTTTCTTAGTAATAGTTTCTACATATTTATTAACTCTAAAGAGATTTCTCTTCTATGAAGTTGTCCAATTTTCCCTTGAAGCAGGAAGTTCTACGTGTTGACTAATCAGCCTGTGAAGAAGCAGCTTTTTTTATTTAAGTTTTACTTTTACTTCATTTATTCAGAAGGACAGAGAAGTGGGAGCTCTCTTAGGTTATCTTGATGTGATCCTGGTGATTTGCTACTTGTTCATTTTCCCCAACTTGTTCCGTACATTTATTCCATGCACCTTTTTATCCATCATATGTCAAAAACTGTACATTTAAAAAGTGCAAAAAGTTGGTGGCTACCATAAATGCATATAAAGCATTTATAACAATGCAATTATTTTTCCACCATCTTCAACAGGAAGTTGAGTTATACGGTTCTCCTCCCCTATGTTTATTCAGTAACTCTTGTGGTTTAAGCCCAGTCGGTAACTCGGAACCACGCAGCCGCTCGCTCACTCCCTGCCTTCTTCCTCCCCCCGCTCCCAGAGGGATGGGGAGGAGAATCGGAAGAATGTAACTCCCATGGGTTGAGATAAGAGCAGTCCAGTAACTAAGGTATAATACAAACCACTACTGCTACCAATAATAATGATAAGGGAAATAACAAGGGGAGAGAATATAAAACTAAGAAGGGAAGGGGAAAAAACCCAATAAACATGAATGATGCACAATACAATTGCTCACTACCCACCAACCAATACCCAGCCCAACCTAAGCAGTGACCTGGGCCTTCCGGGTAACTCCCCCCTGTTTATATACTGGGCATGACATGGAATGGAATGGAGTTCCATAGTATGGAATACCCCTTTGGCCAGTTTGGGTCAGGTGTCCTGTCTCTGCTTCCTCCTGGCTTCCCCTCCTCCCTGGCAGATCATGAGACTGAGAAAGTCCTTGGTTGGAGTAAACATTACTTAGCAACAACTAAAAACATCGGTGTTATCAGCATTATTCCCAGGCTGAAAGTCAAAAACACAGCACTGCACCAGCTACTAAGAGGAGAAAAATGACTGCTGTAGCTGAACCCAGGACAGTAACACAAGGACTTGCGTATAGAGTCTGCCTTGTATCTCCATAGCCAGCTCACTAAATGGCATGGCCAAGACACAGCCAGAGGTAACAGAAGTGTGCATACCTCTGCTGTGCAGTCTGAACATCTTTGTGTCACTCTTACCATGTTAGCAGAAGCTTACTAGGCACAACACCAAACATTAGGATCCTCCTTATATCAGAAGGATGATGCAAAGATATCCACATGCCTCTGTAAGAAGACAGCCTTGGTCCAGTCAAATGTATTTTCCCCTCAAGCTCCATGCTCTCAACACTTACACGTAAGAGAGTTACTACATTCCCAGTAACAGGAACACAGAGTAGGCTGGGTCAGTCTGACTTTGCATGGGTTTAGATCTCTACTGATCATCTCTGAAAAGACCTTATATTTTAGCACTGTGTTATAAAACTATGGGGTTAAAAGCAGATAGACTGTATAGCTGATTCTGTATCAGAAATATTTCTGTTCATGGCACAGATGAAGCAAAATCCAGATGAACTACCTGTTGCTGAGAGGTAACTGCAGTAACTGACTACACAAAGAAATGTGGATAAAGAGTAATAATCTACATTCCGTTATGATAAAAGCCCCCCGAGATAATGATTCCAGCTTCTCATGCACTGCCTTAATCTTCTGTATAGATCATACAATTTCTGAGTGTTTTCCCATGAGAAGAGCAGATAACACAGCTTCTTTTCTCCTACTCATCATATGACTAAGTTAATTAAAACTATTGTTCTTGAACAAGCATTCAGAAACAAGAGTATGAAATATCAGACTTGGTCAGGTCTCCATGTGCAATTGTAAGACATAATTTTTATCCAACTCAAGACAGAGAAATACAAAACTATGCAAAGATGATTCATCAAAGAATTAACCCTTCAGCTCTATTGCAGAGACTAGGAAAGAAATTACATCTTGTGATTACAGATTCTAGTGTAGAAAAATTATATAAAAACTTTTTTTTTAATAGGAAAGGAGTGTATATAAATCTTTGGTAACAGTATGTTTGAAACGTTTGCAGAGGCTTAGTCTCAAATGAGAGTTCTTCAAGACAATTAAGCAAGCATCAGTAATCCAGTGAAATTACTTTTAAATTAACATTTCTGATGAAATGAATTATTTTTAAATCCAATACCTGATTTCCTATAGGGGTCTTTTTATGACCCTTACATGGTCCTGTTATGCAGATTCATATTAAAACATAAGAGATTTTGTGTTACAAGACAGTTCTCAAGCAACACAGAAGGATGACCTAGGATAAGAACAATGCAACTTCGTGCATCTTTGTCCCTGTCTTTTTTCAATATGCAAAATCCATTCAAGGCCTTTCCCATCTATTCTGCACTGCTGCTTTACTCTCATGCCTGTTACTACTCTCAACAGACTGTTGCGATAATCTTAGTGTTAGTTCAGAGAAAAGGGACAGAAATCATACTAAAGCTGGCTATTAACTCCCCCCCCCCAAATAAATCAGTAGCATCTCCAGAGCAATGGATAGTTCATTTTCCACTCCATCACTTTTTGAGTGCAGATTCTCCATTCCTTGCAAAAACACACAGACTAGTTGCAATGTGAAGAACTCTTCTGAGAGAAAGAGAAAGCCCCTTCTTGACCACTGGTTTTGGCAGGTTAAGAAATAAATGAGCAAGTAAGTTCCTACTTTATGATCAAAATTATTGTAGGGAGTTTGATGGCCAAACAGTGATTGTACTGGGAAGGACCAAAGGTAGATGCTTAGTTCACCTAAGGAGACTTCAGTGGCACAATGCTCATGCACTTCAGATGAGGATCTTGTATTAGAAAACATGCAGTTCAAAGGCACCAGTAAAAATCTCACTTCTCTCTTTAGGTTCTCATAGTACAATCACAGCACAAATGTGATCTTATATTAAACATACTGCAGGCAACCATACCTTCAAAAGTATTTCTCTTTGCTTTGCTACGTTCAGTTTTTCAGAGAGCTGGCTGAAAGATAAGTTGGAGGTTTCAATGTCTTCATGCATCACAATGTAAGGATGTACATTACCTTGGAAAAAAGAAAACAAGCAGCTGATTGAGCTGATTGTCACTTCATTTTTACCTAGCCAGCTTCTAACTAAGCAAAATCAAAAGAAGCTAGGCTTATATTGTTATTTTCTCTGAGCAAGCTTTCATATCAAACAAGCAAGTCCAATTCTATGCTTAGAGACAATGCAACTTTAAACCAACAATAAAGAATGTACATATACGCTTAAAAATAAAAGCCAACCACTTTGCTAGTATTTATGAAAACCACGAGTGTTAGGCTAGTGTGAATAAATATTTAATGAGCATGGCAGATTAACACATGGTTACTTTGACTCTTCTCTCTTATTTGTGTAATACAGTCAAATAGTGGAAAATTATCCATCAATGACTATTTGATTTGAAAGAGAATTACCTGCTTGTAAAGCTTGGCTATCCAATAAGATTAGCATCACGAGACTTATCTAACAGAAAAGACATATAACCATAGCAGTCACATCTAGAATAACGTGAGCTAAACTTAGCAACAGATAATTGTAGAATTAATATTTGAAAACAAATTTGGTTTTAATTCTAGTGAACAATTTGAACCCGTATTTTTATAACTGTTACTGGCTTCAGTGCAAGCAGGTTCTACCTCTAAAGAAAATCTCACAACTTCTTGAAGAGGATAAAGAGAGACCTCAGAAGTGTTGCATTTTATAAATAGATTTTGAAACTGCACATTTGTGTTAACTCTCATGTTCACAGAAAAGTATGATACTGCTTTGAGAGATGTATATTGTAAAAACTGAAGCAACAAAGTCAGAACTACTCATCAGTGCAACACAGCACAAAAAGAAATAACGTGCAAACTGGAGTACATACCTCTATTAGCATTCAGAGCAGCTAACTGTGATTTCAGTTTTGCAATAATGTTGTTTTGAAGCTCTATCTTTTCCTGCTGTTCACGTATTTGCTGCATGTAGTTTTCTGTCTGCAAATATAATTTAATTAGCATTAATCTTATTCTGTTTTGACTAGGGCTCTCCTATTTGGCATATAAAAAGCAGCTCTGATTTTTAAAGGTAATTGTAACTGTGTGAAAGCCCAACTACAGACACCTTTGACAAGTCCATATTTTCGAGACTACAGTTATTAGAAAAGTTATTACAGGAAATAAATCCCGATTTTCAGTAACTATTTCAATTGTGGCAGTTGTAAAGAATAGGGTAACTTTGAAGTCAGGATTCTTCACTCATAGCCATAGAATACATATGGTTTAAAATTAGAATTTTAGTATTCTTCAGAATGCTGGTCAGTTAGTTTATCTATAGAAAAATGTAATTTTCTTCCCCCATATCTTCTAACAATTATATACAAATAGGCTTTCAAAAAGATAACTTTAAATGAAAAACAGCCTTGCTTATTCCATGCAACAAATATTTTGTAAATAACTTTAACTGCCTATGAACAGAGTTTTGCCTGTTCCTTTGAATGTAGTAACTTGTTTTTCTAACCTAGAAAAAGGGGGGAGAAGCAAGCAAGTAGCACATTCTTCATCTAGCTATACTCCTTCTCATGCTATAAACATGCCACACAGACCCTAGTAAGACTGCTCACATTTCATCAAAGTGTATAAACACTGTTAGACAGCCAGTTAATTGAAGAAATAGTCAGGTGGCAGGAAGATGCTAATATTCAAAACCTATTATTTTATTAGCACATGTCTAATGTTGCAGTTACAGTAATGCTAAAAACAAGCAAGAAAACTTGTAAAGTCCCAGGAAGGAAACTTACAGGAATGCACTGAATTTTCCTGAAATTACAAATATGTCTATTACTGAACAGGTCATGACCTGGGAAAAGACTTGGCTTTGTTTTCATGTCTATTCACAGTTTATCTGTACTACTGTCCAATTCTCAAGTCTCAGGACCATTTAAATTCCACAGCCCCTTACTGCCCAATGTGTTTGTCTGTAAAGCAGGAAGGAAAAAAAAATAAAAATCTACAAGCAAATTGTATTTTAAAAGGCCAGGTAGGAGCTGTGCTGAGAGATACTATCTAAAAAAAAAAAAAAAAGAAGAAAAATAGAAAAGAAAAAAAAGTGATCAAAGAGCAGTACACTCCAGCAGCTATAAGAGACCTCATGAAGCAGAAAAATCACTGAGAAGCAAATTGAAAATGTACAACAGCAATGTCTTGTCAACACTTCTGTACAGAGCACAGACATGACAGCTAAAACAGATAGAAGAGAAGATGCTTTTGACAGCCAGTGTGCACAAATTATTCCTTGAGTCAGATGGCAGCAACAAGTTACCAACTAGAAGATCTGCATGACAACCAACCATCCATCTGTATCAAACACCATCTGGCCGAGATGACTCTGGCTTCTGTGTGCTTGACATGGCTCCCAGCTCTAGAGACTGGCAAAACAAGTGGCCTATTGGTAACTTAAGTAGTAAACTGTTAACAACAGAATTGTGGACAATCCAACAGTGTGTGAAGGCCACACAATGAACAGAGGAAGTTACTAGAGTAAAGCACTGTATAAAGGTCATTCAAAAAAACAGGGCTTTGGATAAAAAACCTGAAAAACAACACAAAAAAAAAAAAAAAGCCCAACTAATCATAGTATCAACACTTAAAAAAGTACTTTTGTTCTCTTTTGAAGTCATGAAATCAAGCTACTGAAAGTTTGATTACAACAAAGATTTGAACTGGTAGTAATACTTTATGAAATGCTTTCGTTCTTAATTTCTGAACCAGAGAAAATGCAGAGAAAGATCTTGTGAGCATTTATTTCACTTAACACTGATTATCTCACATACTTCTCTGGTTTTCTTCTATAGACCTTTGAAGGGCTATCTGACATTGTACGTCTTGAGTATCAGTTTTTTTCATGTACTCTTAGATGACCCAGGTTTTCCTTTAAATACTTAATTGTTCATCATAAGAGACAGAGTTTAAAAGATTCCCAAACATTCTGAAGTATGTTGCCTTTGATTAAGTTAGTTGCAATTTCAGCACAAAACGTCCTGGCACGCTACTTGTGCTTGTTAAGTACAGAAAATGCTACAGATTTGCACCACCACTGCTCCAAGAGACTATGAATGGAGATAGACTGCACAGTGGCTGACTGCACACAGGACTGACTTGACAATTGTTCTGCAGTGCCTTGGCTAGTTCATTTTGCCATGCAAGGGGATGGCAAGATTGTGCCCAAATATCAGAATATTCTCTAGCAGACCTTTTCCTGCTCCCAATTTTACTACTGCTTCCATAACTTGACACCGAGTATGGTTCATATGCCCCTGAACAAAAGCCCAGCCTACCAGTTTTATGGAAGTATCAGAAAGTCCTGCAGCATCAAATACATTCAAGCCTTCTTATAGCAGAGGTTCCATTGCTGGGCAGAATACACATGATCAAATGAGTATGACAAAGCCCCAGAATGACAGCTTTGCATTATGCTGGCATACATGATGATGAGTTCAAGAAGAGTTTTGCCTGAAGTAATGTATTCTACAACAGACCAAGTAAAAATTCAAAGGTGCTCCTTACAGGTCAGAATGCCTCCAGAATCTTTCTGTTACTTCATATCACAGTTAAAGAATAATTGTACAGATGATTATTTTTAAAAATCAATACTTATTATAATAATTTTAAGGTGAGTTTGCTATAAATGTTTCAATACACAAACTCTGTTGTCCTAATAGCTTGCACAGTGCTTAACCCATTAGAGTCTATAACCTTCACATCAAGTAAACTAACAGTTCATATAGCATATCTTTCCATTAACATAAAAATGTTTTAATATAAGCTATTTACAGTAATAATTTTTAAAGTAATTTTTTTATTAAAACAAATGAAAATTCAAAAAAATACTTCACTAAAGCTAGGTAAAGTTATATACATCTTTGCTGTTCATACTAGACTTCATTAATCCCGCAAAACAGACAGCACTTTTCACACCTTTAAAACTAAAACAACAAAAAAATTTAAATAAATTAAAACCCAAAACCCTGAAACCCACCTACTACATTCACAGCCTAATGAGTTACCCTGCAGTGTACTGGCCTGCTTTCAGAACAGCAATTTCCAGATGCATTAAAGTGCACATAGCTAAAGTGAAACTGAAATCTACTTGTACCACAATCCCCTGTGACAAGGATAGCTTTAAAGATACAGTTTAGAACCCAACACATACTTTCTGCTGTAGTTCTTTCACAGCATGATCCCTATCCATGCATACTTGTCGATAGGCTTCATAAGCTTTATTAAGCTGCTCTCCAATTTTGTCCATAATTCCAAATGTTGTTTCATCACTGAAAAGGTGGTCAAGTTCACAGACCTGAAAAGTAATCAGAAAGAAAAAGAGAGAATGCTAAAACCCAGAAATGCATAACTAAAACCATATATAACATGATTCGTATCAATATCAAATTCAAGTAGTATGTGCAGTATGTCTGAGCATTAACTCATGTAACAGTTTGAACTATAGCTCTGCTCACCTCAAAAATTTCATTTTAAGTCCAGAGATAGGTTTAAACAAAAGCTAAATAAAAGCAGATTAATTTTGGATGTACAGAATGTATAAATGTATGTGTGGTTACAGTGTTTGAGGACTGAGACTTAGAAAAGATGCAGATCACCTATTGCCTGATTTTATGACATTTCCAACATTTTCATGTTTACTGAATTGTGAAATAATGGCACTAAAAACCAAACCAAAACTCAGTTTTTGGCATTAAGTGATAAAAAGATAAAAGCTTGATAATATTATGTCACATGGACCTAACTATTCTATGCCATATTTGAAAATGGCAACACAAGCAACACTACAAGGTGAATGAAAACATCTTTTATCTAAAAATTGGTAGTACAAACTGGTAAGAATTCTCAAGACTTCGGAACTTTTCACACAAAGCTATCCACTTTTTACATTTTATGAACAATTTCAGTAACAATTCCTGAAACTACAGCTCATGAACTTTGACACGTAAGACTACAGCACTGTTAAATGTCACAGACTTCAAGTCAGAGTGAACTTTGCGAATACAGGTCCTTTGCCTCTATAGTAATGTTACATGAATTTTAATATCAAAATTTGTCATAAGTACAGGAAAGGACAGGCTAAGTGAACTCTCAAAAAACCTCAAACCCAAAACCCCCATGGTATCAGCATTTAGGAAAAAAAGAATTACAAAAAAAAAAAAAGTAAAAAAAAAAAAATCAGCAATTCACCTCCCCTGATATTTAAAGATGGTTTCCTCTGGGATTATTCATAAACCACAGATACTCTTAAGGAAAGTGGTGCATTCAGAAAAGGATAAGACAAGCAAGAAGGGATGAAGATATCTTGTCTTGGACCCTGGTCAAAATTTTAAGGATTGCAGCTTGAAGCTTTTGTTCACGCTTTCTTGCTCTTGAACATCTTCCATATCATAATGCCAGAATACAGAAATGTGGTTTGACTTTGCTAAAAGGTGCAACAGACTACTGTATGAATGTTGCACAATTTCGTCCTGCAAAATTCATTCTAATGATGTGTGTATGTTGCAAAAGCAATTACATCTCACATCCAGCATGGCTGTACTTTAATAGTGACAAAGTGAATTCTTTAACGGCTTGGAACCGTTTAGGGATCCTTTGACTTAACAAGTATTACTGAAATGCAAGTTTATAAGTTTTGCGTAAAATGCCCATGTTGTTTCATATTAAAGGTTGCTTTTTTGTTTTTTCCCCCTCTGAACATCAGCAGTTTATAATCTCAGGCCCATGCAGACTGTCTCAAAGCATCATTAGTAACACTTCATCCACCCCTTTTCTCCCACAAAGAGCATCCATTCACAAACTGGAATATTCATTCTAATACCTGAGGCACATCTTTAAATACATGGGTAGGCTTTTTTTCTGTTTCAAATGAAGGACTGTTTTATGTAGTTCAATAAATAAAATCAGGTCTTACATCTGACTGCGTGGGCAGGTACTAAAATGCAGAAGTGTATTGTTATGGCTGAAAGTGATTGAAAATGTGCTCTTATATTCTGTAAAAACCTGCAGAGTTTGCACTAATTTTGATTCTGTAATTTTCTGGAATTCTCCAGAGGCACTTGTAACAACTTACCTAATAAATGGCGATGTCCTGTATGTATAAAAGGTAACTTGAAAAAAATCATTGCAATGGAATTTAAAAGACTATGTTCAACTTCTAGCATGGGGAATGGGGTTCAGCTCCACGTGACTCACAGAAAATGAAGGCATTACTTTCATTCATGCAAATTCAAATCTTGATTTGAAAAATAGTATTTAAAATTTATACTTAACTTCCAGCCTTTCACTTATTGATTGATTGAGACTTGGAGTATTAACAAAGAGTTCTGCTCTTATCTGGCCTGCTGGCACCATGGGTTAATTGATCCAACAGGCAGAACTGTAGCACTGCACCTGATTTTCTCTTTGGTAGGGGACAATAAAGAGAATGGTAGCTCCCTGAAATCCAGACTCCATGTAGTAGGAAAGGAGCAGTCAAAGTCATTACTAGCGACACTTTAAGATGGAATTGTGACTGGGAGAATTGGTCCTATATTCCCTCATAACCTAGACATTAATTTCTGCTTCCATCTCACCCATCCCTTTCTTCCAGCACAAGCAGCTTTACTGCAAACCATATCAGCAAACCAAACCAACTTAAAACTAAATGCTAGAGGTATTTTTGCTGTTAGTTTTAATGCAGATCAGACCACTTCAAAAGGCGCAGTAACACAAGTAAGACAGCATACGGCAGAAAACATCAGCAAAAGGTGAACACAGCATTGCTGTGTTCAATAGCGCTTTGAAACTGTAACATCAAGTCACTGTTACAGTGTTGCAAGTCTGCATTGCCACAGCGAAGGATACTCCTGCTTTACCTCGTCTCTGCACATGTATTTTTGCCACTTACTTGTACTGGTATTAGTATTTCTATGCTACACGGTTCAGTATACCAAAGTAGCTTCCTCAAAAAAGCAAAAAAACCCCTAAAAAAACCCAATCCCAGAAGTAAAACTGGATCTTGCTCACTGCGCAGCTGCTGGAGCACTACTATCAACACAAGCAGGCAGTTGGAACATGAGACTAACCATAGGCAGGACTGCAGTAGTCTAGATTTAGATTGGATTAAACTACTCTGTAGTCACACCCCGAATTGCCTGCTGCTGGAATAAATAACTGCTTCTTATGCTATCTCACATCCAGAACTCCTTGCAGTTAGAAAAACTGGCTCTTTTTCCTGCTTCTCCTTCACAGGCATCAATATTTATCAGGGAATTTGCCAACTGTTCCTTGTCATTAACCCTTCTCCCTACATCCAGTTAGAAGATAAAAATAAAAAAAACCAAACAAAATCATCAAACAACCCCAACCACCCTAAAATAAAATGAAACAACCCCCAAAACAAATACCCCCACTATTTTATTTGGGCTTAGTTATGCTGTATCCATATAGCAGCTGGAACATATTCAGGCCAAAGCTGACAACTCTGATCTTTAGCCATTGACATTCTGGATACTCATTAGATCCTAAATACTTTCACAATTTAATAGCAATATGTAGTCAGAACAGATGCAGCAATACAAAATACTGCATTATTGTAACAGGGACAGAATTAGAGAGAGATGAGTTCCAGAGTTTGTCTGATGAGGGGCAAATGTGAGTACCTGTGATTGTTGAGTTGCCAGAGCTATGGCAATGAGAACTAGAATTTCATCTTTGAAACACTTGAAAGCAACTGGTTGTAACAAATGCTGTAAGACAAACTTTTAAGTAAACAAATCCAATGAAACCTGCAGATGCTCTTGAAATGCTCACTTCAAATGAGAAACATTTTGCTGACATTGGTGGGGAAAAAACCTCCAAACAGTAATATGTATTTTCTGTAAGTCAAATGCCAAAAGAGCCCCAACACAAAGATCAGCAACATACTGCTGCATACATCCTGAAATCCCAGCTCCACAGATCATTGAAGAGGCACATTCTGAGTTTTCATAGTGCCTCAAAAAACACCTTAAATTCAGAAGAAATAAAGTTTTAGCTAACCATGTATATATACACATTCATTCATAATACACATGCCTACCTCTCATAGGTTCACATGAGAACACAGATGCCATCCAGAAGCAAGTACTTCTCTACATATTTCTGCTTTCAAAACAGCTTCCTCGATGGAAATATTTTGTAAGTTACACTGCCATCATCTCGGGAACTGGAAACCTGTTGAGGTAATAATTCGTGAGAGACTGAGAGCTCACTGTACTTCGGTATTTGGTGTTTTGGCTTTGTCTTTTGGGGTTTTTTGTTCCGTCTAATAGACGAGTTTCCCGCTTTTCCCGACTGCGGGAAGAGCCGGAAGC